TATATTAAATGGCACAGAAAAAAAAAGAAATGAACCACAATCATCAAAAAAGAATCTAAAAGATTACCGGACTCGAAATGGACTCGGACTCGGACTCGGTCCTTAATGTTAGGGACTCGGACTCGGAATAAATTTTTGAGGACTCGGACTCGGTCCCTCCCGGACTCCCCCATGCCTGTTATCGACCATGCTGATTCCGAATATGATTATGGAAGCTGCCCTTAACTGTACGAAGATCTGTTTTTCTGAAAAATCAGTCTTTCCGAAACTATAAAAAGTAATGAAAACCTTTCTTAGTGAGGCATTATTGTAGTCCGCAAATTTCTGATTAAAATGAGATATCTCCCAACTCAAAAATAATGCCTCACTAAGAAAGGTTTTGATTACTTTTTAGAGTTTCGGAAAGACTGATTTTTCAGAAAACCGGATTTTCGTACGGTTAAGAGCAGCTCCCATAGTCATATTCGGAATCAGCATGGTCGATAACCTATAACCCACTAGATTTCGATCAAAAAGCGTTTTATCCTCTCGAGAGGTTCCGCACAGCTAAGTTCCACAGAGCTAAGTTCTCGATATATTGCTGTGAGCAGTTACGACGTTACGACTAACGAGGGAACCTCTCGAGAGGATAAAACGCTTTTTGATCGAAATCTAGTGGGTTATAGGTTATCGACCATGCTGATTCCGAATATGACTATGGGAGCTGCTCTTAACCGTACGAAAATGACGAAGATTAAATTAATCTTGGATTTAGGTAGAGCTTTTCTTGCGAAATCATTGAGATAGATAAAGGGCTGTGGATATTGCAGCTAAGCATAATGAAAATATGTACTTTTTACTGCCATCTTAAACAGGTGTATAATGATTTATATGTGTAAAATTGTCCCAGTATAAATCGTTTACAGATTTTACTTCGGTAGAGTACAAGTATACAAGACTGTTGATAAGCTCTTATTCGCTTATTGCTTTATTCAGCTCATTGGATCGCCATAAGTACGATATAGCAAAATTTAGAACTCCCTTGCTTTGTGATTGCATAAGCACATAAACTCATTTTTTTTCTTTACAAATGGTGCGATGGACAAAAAAGCAATATTTCTAGATTTTAGAATTCATCAATATCTCCAACTAAATTAGTGATTAACGTTTAAAAAGTCACATCTTTTATATTCAGCAGATAAATAAACACTTTTTGACTATCATGACTTTCCGACTTTCTCTTCGGGTCATGGTAATCAGAGATAATGTATGTGAGTTCAAACTGTGAATAATCATATGAACTTTATGTGGAAAATGGAATAAAGTACAAATGAAACATCAAAATATGATTAAATAAAAATTTTGAGCTTCTTTTAGAAAAGCGTATCTTGAGATCTCCACCTCTTATTTTCTCTTATCTTCATCCTGTTGTGAAAAAAAATTGTGCAAGCAGTAAAAAAATTAAAGAGAGGAGAAAAGAAAGAGGTAGAGACAGAGATTCAACCTTTAACTATACAAACATAAAATAAAAATTGAAAATTGACTTTACCCGAATGCTTGTTAAAAAGGATTAACTATATTTCATATGAAATGAATGACTTCATGAAAAGGGTAGAAATGTGACATAAAGCTAACAAGTTCGGTATCGCAATGCCAAAAAACGATCCAAAAAACGAGAGTAAATTTAGGGTGCTCCCGGCACCCATATCACAAAATGACTTTTTTGTGGCACCACAATCAACGTGAGGAAAAACACTTTCTGAACGTGTAATATCGGGGGCACTCCAAACTTACTCGAGGATCGTTTTATAGCATTGCGATTCCGAATTTGATAGCATTATGTAATATTTCTACCCTTTTCATGGAGTCACTCATTTCACATGCTATTCGAATAAACTAATTTGTTTGAATAATAGTACACGTGATAATGTGCTGAATCTTAACAAAGTGATGAACAAATTAAAATATAAACATAAATACGTATAAATGCGTAAATAGATGCGCAGAGTATATGCTATTCGTCGTATAGCAGCATTATAATCACTGATACCTTCTTCTACTTCGCCAGGCACTTCTGATAACATTTTTGCAACTATTGGTGCAGAGCTGGCTCCTTTTATGACATCTACCACTCGGGTCATCTGATCAATAGATATATCTTTACGATGTGCAGCTAAACGGCTCCACGTGATTTTGGCAGTCTCATTACTACTTTGTTGCACCGCATTAGAGAGTGATGCAGATTGTGAGATCGTTGAACTCATAAAATACCTTGTACCAACAATTGCCAGCTCCAAATCATTATATGATGCATCCCGTTAATTAAACTCAATCGGTAAAACTCAATCTGGGTGTTCATCATAAAACCATCGTGCATAAGGTGCACATCTCATGCCATATTGTTCAACTCGTTCATAGGCTACCTTTAACACATTCAACCGATTAATGTGCGTAAGCAGCGGGGCAATACCCTCATCCGACATCATTTTTAGCACTACATATGCATCAACTACAGCTGCTGTACCTGAAACTTGTGTATTAGGCACCATCCTAACTGTAGTTGAAGCACCAATTTGCCGGTCTTGAATCAAGCCACATGACGGATCTAATATTGCGCAATGATCTAAATTCATAGGTGTCATAAGTGACAATACAGCATGAACAGAACTCGCATGTGTGCAACATAAAAGGTAGAAGTGATCGTCTTTAATTGATCGATGCGGGTTGTTTTATCACCTTCGCCTTTCCAATACCCTTCACGTTGCAACCGACGACGCGGGAAGCCTACTGCTATCGTTCCGCCTGCTGCATGATCTGCACGTTGCCATGAAGTTGTTCTTGCAGCTATGGCAGTCCAAGCATTACCATGATATATTAAAGCAAAATTGACAAATGTGTCTGCATCGTCGGCTGATGTTGGAGGATTTTCTACAATTGTATATTCATGTGACTTCGTTGTCATAACCATACCAGCTGCCACGCCCCAGAATCGAACAGCATGTACGCACATTAGATCTGACTTGTCTAACACTAAATCGCGTATATGATTAATATTTACCGTATAAAACATACGCATGACATCAGCGGTGGGCGGTTCAACGTGAAATTCAATAATTCGAGCCCAATTAGTAACATTATTCACAGTTAATAAAGCGTGAATCTCTCCATTATATAGTTTTACATTACCTGATGTTATCCAACCTAATTTTCCACTGTAAAAACCTGGACCTTTTGCTTTATCATAAACTGGGATTGCATTAACACCCATAGATGCACCTAAATTTTGAGCATTCCATGCAACTCCATCAACTTTGCCACACCATTTTTTTATTATGCTTCGTGGAATTTGTATATATTCTTCTTAGATCAACCTTGGATCGACACCTGCCTCTAAACCTGCTTCACCACAACCATTTGAGTATAACTCAGATAAATATTTATTTGCGCTAAAAGTATTCATTGTTATAAGTTTAAGTTAAACGGACAATTGAAAACAAAATATAAGCGATAATTGGACGATGTAATTCGCACGAAGAGAAAGTTTTTGAGTATTAGGGAAGTCGTTACTCCCCAATATATTTTGTATCGAAGAAGATGTCACATCATTCGACGATTCATATTCATTTCCCGTTTTCCGAGGAGTTATTTCTCGCATTTCTAGACGAAATACTTTGTTCCATGAGCTTTCAATAGTTTCTTTCAATTTTACACTTTCCTCTCTTTCCACATCCATCATTTCTCGTGCTTTTCTCATTTCACACAACTTATCTCATAATAATTCACATTTCGCTTCGGCTTCCGCAATCGTTCGTTCGATAGCCTGTGCCTCGCATTTCAATAGATCTTTACTAGCGTTTTGAATAATATCTAACCACTGTTACCTAAGTTTCGGATCATCAGCACCTAAATTTTGTTTTGGTACATCTATCTGGAGTGATTTAGGAAAAAGATTATTTCACGATAATATACGTTTAGTGCTAAATGATTTCTAAACCGATGATATCGACTATATTCGTTACGGTATTCTCCTATCGCGTTCTCCTCTTCCGCCACATGCTCGCCTTCAGAAGTATAACCTTGTTTTTTTAAAATTCTGTTTCGTTGGTGAGAAAATTCTTTTTTTCTAAATGAGAGGCGAAAACGTCACAATACATTATATAATAATAATAATATAATACATATATATACAATATATAATATACAATATATAATATAATATAATAATATAATACATTGTCATTCTCAATTTTCTGTATCAGAACTCAAGCATTGAGCATTAAGAATATCATATTCGGAATCAGGATCAAAAACTGAGCCGACTGATGTGTATTTCTATCTTATCCGACTACTTTCATTTTTTTCGAATTTTCACGTTGAAAAATTACCGAGATTTTCACCCAAAACTGAAAATCAACTAAAAATTTCGAAATAAAAAAAGACGACTTTTTTGATGTTTTTTTACTACCTTCGAGCTTTTCAGTAAAATCAAAAAATTATTTGATTAGATCCTGACTGGGTTATGAATTTTGAGGCCCCACCCGCCCACCGCTTAAAAGCATTTACACGTACTGTTCTAATTCCCCACATGCGGGGAATTGGAACACAAAAAAATATTACCCGTTTGCGATCTAATCCATATCAGGCGATAGAGCTGAATATCTTCTACATATCATACTAAGGACGTGTGCAAAAATAATTTAAAATAAAAATATAAAATTCAAATTACTTTTATTAAAAAATCCCGTATATTTTCCACGGACTGTTCTAATTACCCGCATGTGGGGAATTAGAACAGTTGAAAACAGGCAACCGCAGATCTGCTCTTGATCCTGAAGGAAACGACCATTCGACAGGAAAATATCTCCTCTACAACTCTTCCCAAAGAACTACCCAAAAATTCCTTAAGCTAACTGAGAGGGAACGAAAATACGGAGATTTAAAAAAATACTGTTCTAATTACCCCACCCTACTCTATTCTATATCGCAGAAAAAATAAGAATAAGAAAACGAAAGAGAAATTCACATGTGCAAATCTCGCGTGTGTTCACTATTGGTCAGTGGACTGATGGCATGGACTGTGTCACTTTCTTGATTTTATTTTCCAGTGCACTTTCCTACACTATGATTGGTCACTGTAAGAAAAACCAGGCCAGCGGACGTAGCGAGATAAAACTATTAGTTTAGAACCGCATTCGATAAATAGAAAATTTCACCCAAGGAAATCTGGATTCCTTACAGTAGATAGATGGGCAACAGTAAGAATATGATGTTAGGGATGATACAAACGGCTGTATGAAAACAGGTTAAGGGCGACGAAATGCACTTTAAAGACAAATTGAAAGGAATCCAGACCGGACCTTTTTCTCTAAATTTTATTTTATATTCTTGTATTTTTGACGCTTATATCTTCTCATTTAGTCCACTGGCCGATCCTTGCTTTTTCTAATGCATTGGTGTATAACGCTTGCAAAATCCATATTTTACTACCCTGTGCAGGCCACTGACCATATACTAAGAAGAAAAAGACTAAACATCACAACAATCGATATCACTAATGAACCGAATGTATTCTTATATATATTGCGTGTGCTTATTCTGAGCTCAAATTCTTACTAATTTTGAGAAGTGTTGCATCATGTTCCCGAAGAGAAAACCCGGTAAAACATGGTGAAATCAGAATCCTAACTGTCATAAGAAAATTCATCCAAGATGAGTTTTCTTACTCATAAAAGGTGTGTTTTTTTAGTGTTCTTGTGGCAAGAAACGAGCTTTCATGGGATGAAAAACTAAGGTTTCTACCCTTTTGTATTCTTTACATGTGTTTTTTTCTCCTCTGCTTAAAAGGAGAGAGAAAAAAGTTTTTGTCATGATCTGACTGATGATGTCCTTTGAAAAAATCCAAACTAGTATCAAGTGAAACGGTTAATTTCACTAAGCTAGTGTTAGTCTTATTATCGATTTTGAAATTCTTCACGACTGAAAATGATTCAAAAGCCACGTCACGTATTTTTTCTTCCTAAATTTGCTCTTCTTCCTACGATATCGTATATATTTGTCTTAAGTCACTCTTTTAAAATAAACTTAAGAAGAAGAAAATATTTTTCATGTATATTTTGAAAATTTCCTTGAGTCAGCATGAGATTTGATCGAGATATAAGGATTTTAATTTTTGTTAGTAAGAGGCGAAAAACCGGTTTTTCACAACAATGCCTCTGGCGAAGTTATATTCATTTCTACACAAAAACAAATGTTGCTACTATGCTCAGCGTAGTCGATTACCTATAGTCCATGGCATTTTGAGATTCCCAGAGATGTCTGCTCGGAGATAGACACGTGCTCGGGGAAAGCGAGCCCTGTCCGAACGACGACAACTGGGGAGCCGGGACTGGCATAATTTTGTAGAGTAACGTCCGGACTATCTACGCATGCAAAAAAATTACTAACATTGTTTGTTAACTTCCTGAGAACAGAACTGGTTTTCCAAAGATCCTCTTGGAAAACCGACTTTGAATTTCGTTTTTGAGAGTGTTTTTTGCATGGCTATATGCAAAAAGTGTTGGCTATCGATCTGCGAAAACCGAAGATCGATACCTCTTTCTATAGGGGAGTTATTCAAAATTTAGTCAGGGACATTGCTTTTTGAAAACGATAATAGTTTAAACGCATTCTCAAAAAATTGAGTGAAAAATGAGTTTTTGATAAAAAAACTAGGTAGAAGATTTACAGATGTTTTGAGAAAAGAGACACTGTACTCCCTCATAAAAAGCCATAAGAAAAAAAGAAGGCTATAACTTTGTAGCGCGTCAAACGGCGGTTCTAATGGCGTTTGAATAAAGTTTCCATCTCATAGGAAAAAAAACTAAATACATCTACAAAGTCGCGCACCACGAGGATGAGGGGTGATACCACCCCGAATTCTTTATTGGACATGGTACATGCAATCAGTCTTTAGTTAACATTTCTATACTCAGTTTTTCATGAGAAATCTGAATATCACCTCAGAAATCCAAAAAACTCGAGCAAAAAAATAGTTATTGCATTGTTTCTGAAAACAAGGGTTTTTTATGTTTTTGACTATCACTCAGTATTTTGAGTGTTTCTCTATGAATACTTGACTTAAATCAAATAATAAGGTGATATTCGTGATCAGCAGCTCACGACGAATCAGAATATGTGTGAAAAAACAAAAAATAAATTTTGTGGAAACTTTGCATTACTGGTACCTTACAAAATAGCCTGATCGGGATATTATCTCGTTCGGTATATATGCATAAATAGTTCGATGCTTTGTAGAGCAGCTTGTAAAGGAGTCCAGTTCTGAGTAATCTATGGGCTCCGCCTGCTCCAGCCCTGTCCAGTGTTATAGATACTAAATGCGACAAAAACAACCGGAAGAAGTTAAGTTAACATATTTTTCGGTGTATTTTGAACTATATAAACCGACGAGATCTGTTTTTTTCTCCGATAAAATGCCAAAGCATCATCACAGCAAATGTGGTAATCGTTTACACTCAGAGTGATAAGATGATTTAGAGTATTCTCTTTTGTGGACCGATAAGCGTTCGGTCAATAGCAAGGTGCTGATCATTTTGAGTGAAAATGATTATTTTATTAGCAAAAAATGTAAATTTGTTTGTAATTTATGTGTAAAAAAAATAGGTGATTTTTTGAACCAAGAGCCACCAAATGCTAAGCGTCAGGAACTCAGTTCGGAAACATTGTCTAATGATCTGGATATAACCTATGAATGTCAAAATGTCTCTTGTCAAACAACGTCGAAATCGTTACTGAATTTTTCTGTTGAACAAGTATGTGAAGCGTTGAAGACTGATGCGTTAACTGATGATCAAGAAGTGTTATTATATGATGCCTTGGCTAAAAACTTAGAAGAAAAATGTAATAATGTAAAATATATTGTTTAATAATGTTTGTAATATAAATGTAATAAAAACATGTTAGTATACAACAATTCGCCAACTACATTAATGACATTAGACGTGACAACTGCTTTTAAATGTATTCCACCATGCGCACTTAAGCTATTCCAACATCTATTACCATGTGAAAATGTAACTAACAACCTTGATGATAATTCCATTCACAATAATCGTTACAAAATCTGCAAGCTGTATGCACAAATGCATTCTGCTTCTCATAATAATTTTATTTTACCATTCTCGTTTAATGAAACCTTGCTTGTTTATCTTCTAACTGGTAGTAAACTCGCTGTGAAAATCTTACAATCGAGTAATCCATGTGGTAGTTATC